TCATCCTACTTTCAAAATTCCCTATGCTCTCCTTATCTCTCGTATTCTAGAGTACAAAGGAGTGAATGTTGAAGGGGAACAAATGGTACGAACGACAAACTTAAACTGAATGCTGGACAACACATTAATCCAACTTCAAATGGTGCGTGTCAATAATATTTATGTTCACAAGGATGACATTCCGAACATAGATGCAGATCATGAAGATTCTGACGAAGAAATGCCTCTTGCTGCTGAGTTTCCCTCTGATCAGATTCAAAATGCTGGAACATCTTCTGGTCCTCCTGAAACCCGTCAATCTGTGGAAGACATGTTATTTGATATGAACCAGAGGATGCATGCATTCTTCACTCTCTCTGGAGTACGACATGAGGAAATCATTCGCCGTATCTCCGACGTAGATGATAAAGTGTGTCACTTTGAGAATAAATTTGATGCTCACTTTAATAGCGATAGTGAAGAATTTTAATACTATTTTCATATCTTCTTGTTTTGTAAATTATTTTCATTTATGAAATAAAATTTGTCTTGTTGCTTTGTTTAAGGGGGAGTTATTTCCTAATTATGCATATTTTGAGGGGGAGCTCTTAACTTATTTTTTTATCATAATCAAAAAAGGGGGAGAAATATTTAAAGCCTCTTATGATTGAATTTAAATATTATCTGGTATGTTTAATGTTTTTGTTAGTGTGACAGATAAAACAGGTTATTACAGGGCTTTAAAAGAAAATTTTGATCATCATCAAAAAGGGGGAGATTGTTGAAACATACAAGGACATGAATGTTGAACTTACATGGACATGAAGCTTGTTGATTTTGATGATGATTCAAGAACAATGAACTTAGAGAATTCAAGACTTGTATTCTTGTGTAATAACTCTGTTTTGATGATTTTGAGTCTATAATATTAGAGTCTAAGATAGCCAGCACATAGTCTACTCTTTAGAAGCTTCAAAAACTCATTTTTATAAAAAACACACTGGTTTAATCGATTAAAAGGCCAAATAATCTATTATTACAGAGAGAAAAACCATTTTCTGTATCAGCTCTCTGGAATAATCGATTAACAGTTGAAATAATCGATTAACAAGATTGTTAATCGATTAACAGGCTAAATAATCGATTAACTGGCGTGGTTATGAGTTTCTGTTGATTTTGGCTCTGTAATAATCGATTAATACTCAAGATAATCGATTATTTCAGTCAGATATGCATTTTAAACTTCAAAATTAGACCAAGTTTCGAAAACCCTAGTCCCAATACACCAAGTTTCGAAAATCCCCAATTCCCAAACCCTAATCCATCTACTTAAGGTTCTCTAAGGGTCTCTGCAAAATAGAACAACCTTTTTCAAACAAAAGTTGAGAGTTGTGACTGCCAAAGAACTGTTTGTTGGAAGAAAAAGAGACTTTTGGAACCTAGTGTGGGCTAGAAGCGATAAGAATCACTAAGTGGAGTTCTTGGTGGATTGTGTGTTGTGCCGTCTCTAGGGAAAGTTGTTCTTCATCTCTTGTGTGACTCAAGAGAGGTGTTTTCGTTACCTTATCTTTTCATTTGTAATATGCTTGTATAACTTTGATTATAGTGACAGCATTAATCCTCTGTTTGAGTGATTAGCAACTGGACGTAGGGTCTGTTGATCCAAACCAGTATAAATCTTCTGTGTAAGACTCTATCCTTATTCTATTTATGTTTACACAACATTTTAATCGGTAAAATTTGGGAAAATTTTTAAAACCTAATTTTTGTTAAGAAACCAATTCATCCTCCCCTCTTGGTTTTTGTCCGTTCACGCAAACATTCTGCTGCGTGATTCTAACAACATCTAGTCCAACTGCTGGCGCATGTTGTAGATGTTGCGGTTGATGCCAGTGAAGTTGTCCCCGTACTGCTGTTGTTGTTGCTGCTACTGGAATTCCGGGGGCGTTGAAATGTCCTGCATCGCCACCAAGTCTTGGAGGTCCAAGGTCATGGCGAGCATAGGGTGGAGGGCCATCTGGGTCCCCTGTCGGATGAGCATCCTCATGCTGACAAGAATGGACCCGCTGATGTACTCGGGTCAAAGATCGTAGGGGATGTTTCTCTGCCGCGGCACCCCCATTTCTCAGCTAGTGGGGTGATGAGGGGACCCATGAAGATGGCTCCCATAGGACGGCACCTGAAATCTTTGAGGGCCTTCACAAAAAAGTAGTCGGGATTGCACCGGCGCCCATGGAGCATGCAGTGCAGGGCAAAGAGGTCAGGGTGGGCGACCTTTCCCTGACTCTCCTTCCGCCCGTGGATGGTTCCCGCCAGCAGCTTGTGGCAAATGCAGAGGGCGGGGATAAGTGCGGACCCCTTTAGTAGCATCGGCAGGACTCACGTTCCAGTGAGATCTTCCGACATCTCACCGGCTGTGAGGGTAGGGGGCCGCTCAGAGATTGCCCCATGGTACTCCGGGGTCAGGACATCCTCGGGCTGGACAAAGCCGATGGAGACGTTGAATTCGTCCAACGTCGTCGTCCGATAGGAGTCGTTCATGAAGTACGAGACCATCTTGACTGGAGGGATGCCCGGGATCATCGTGGGGAGCTTGAACGACGTAATGGAGGCAAGAAACTCCATTACTGCTTGCGTATATATCCAGGTGGGGGGAGGCTGGAGGAGGAAGCCTCACCCGATGCTCTCAAAGTACCCACGCACTTCGTCCTCCCATCCGAATTCGACGAGGAGGTGAAAGTCTAACCTCAGCATGGGGCGCTAGGCATAACCTCGGATGTGCTCGAGCCGGGCCTGGAGCTGGGGTGTTAGCTGGGTCGAGTCCGGAGGAACCGGGGCTGCAGATGTGCTTGGGCCGGAACCCCGACCTCTCTTCCTGGAAGACTCTCCTCTATGAATCTTTGGGTAAGAAAGCTCAGAAATATAGAAGAAGGTGTAGAGAAGGCAAGAAAGGATGCTCCAAACCACCCTCCATGCCCTCCTATTTATAGAGTTTTTGCTGCAGGTCGAGACCTTCGTCTGGGATTTCAGGACGACAGTCTCGATTTAACGAGACTCGGGACCGCCGTCTGGAACTTCGAGATGGTGATCTCGTTTTTGGCTTACAACGAGATGGACTTCTCGCCAAGCGAGAAGGCGGTCTCGTTTTTGTCCAATAGCAAGATGGCGGTCTCGAAATTTGGGAAGGCGGTCTCAATTCTACACGGGTCGAGACGGCGATCTCAAGAGTCGAGATGGCGGTCTCGCTTTTTAGAAGGATTTTTTGTTGTTGAAGAAATAGGACCTTATTCAAAAACATTTTATGCATGCAATGTTTGTTAGAATCGCGCAGCGGAATGTTTGCGTGAACGGACAAAACCAAGAGGGGGGTGAATTGGTTTCTTAACAAAAATTAGGTTTTAAAAATTTTCCCCAAATTTTACCGATTAAAATACTGTGTAAACGTAAATAAGAAAAGGATAGAGTCTTACACAGGAGATTTATACTGGTTTGGATCAAAAGACCCTACGTCCAGTTGCTAATCACTCAAACAGAGGATTAATGTTGTCATTATAATCAAAGTTATACAAGCAGATTACAAATGAAAAAAGATAAAGTAACGAAAACACCTCTCTTGAGTCCCACAAGAGATGAAGAACAACTTTCCCTAGAGACGGCACAACTATCTCAAATTCTCAAAGGAATGAAAGTTATTTTCTATAGTAACTACTAATTCCCTAGTACATTCTTCTAACTTTCTTTTTTCATTATTTTAAAATTTAATTAAATAAGATTTATTTATTTTTGTCAAGAATTACTAAATATCAACCAACTTGAATTGTTGAGTGTAATATTCCAAGAAAGAATATTATTTTGATACACTTATGAGTTATATATGTCTTAGAAGTTGAGATTAAAGATAAGTTATATGTATCATCATCTCTCAACTCAACAAGACGTCTTTAAAGACAAAATCATGATAGACAAGAGAACTCAAAAATGGGCAATACTTCGGATATGAGAATTAACTCTAATGATGTTATCATAGCAGAGACCGAAACACTTTTAATCCAATACGAAATATTAACGTCAATCATGAGGCTAAAAATACTCTATCCATATATATCCTTTAATACTCGATTAAAGAATTATGTTCTGATATGCTAATTAATCTTATATATGTCTTAAAAGTGAAAACCAAAAATAGTTTATATACAGTATTTCTGTCTCTACCCATCAAGATATCTTTAAGGATAAAACAATAAAAAAAAAATTATTATATAAGAGATAAATTCGGAATACTCTTATTCCAAAGAAAAATAATTACTGAAAATGCCTATACATTTTGTAACAAAGTTAACGTTAGATATTAACAGACTACAAGTTTCAATTTCAATAATATATTTGATATTTTTCTAATTTTGAAAGTTATTACAATAGCACCTCAAAAATCTAGGAGAGATTACGTAACAAAAGAAGAAGACAATTTTTTTTTTTTTTTTTAATTGTGGTTTAAGTTTGCTAGGACTTTTACATTTAATTCAAATTGACGTTGCGTTTCGTTTTCCACGAAATATGAAAGTCAACACTATAGTTTGAGATCAAATGAACCTGTCAGTAGTAGTTACATGTCTCATCGAATTGAGGGTCCCCTTGTTAACTTCCATGTTCTGCCCCCCTTTCATTCATGTTACAACTTGCACTGACCTTTATCCTAAAAATGAATCCGCATGTGTTGAATTTTTACACCAGTGTTATGTTATGTAGATATTTTGTATCGATTTTTGTCTCTCTTCTAAGAGCTTAAAAGATAGGACCATATTAAATCTTTTTTACATATAAGTGAAGAGAGATAAACAAAATTATTTCTCATGGAAGGGTGGTGTAAAAATTCAACATGGAGAACTTTTTTCATTTGTTACTGGGATTTTGGTCCAAAAAGGCTGCCTCAATGTTAGTCTGAAGACTTCTCAGTTGTACACAGCAAGCGCGTCTCAGAGACTTGGACAAACCCTTTTCTTCAATTGAATGATTAAATCAACATGAAGCCTTGTAACCATGGCAAACCATCACAAACAAAAATGTTAATAATGGTACGCATTTTCTGCTTCTGCCTCGTTTCCACGTTATTATCTATACAAGGCAGCCTTACTCTTACTCCAAATGAGTCAATCCAAGGCAATAGGACCTTGGTTTCTTCTGCTGGAACTTTTGAAGCTGGATTCTTCAACTTCGGAAATTCACAAGGCCACTACTTTGGTATATGGTACAAGAACATAACACCAAGGACCATTGTGTGGGTGGCCAACAGAGATGCCCCAGTGAAAAACTCAACAGCATTTCTCACACTAACAGAACAAGGAGTTCCTGTTATTCTTGATGCATCAAGGAGTGTTGTGTGGTCCTCCAATACATCAAGAACTGCTAAGAAACCAGTTATGCAGCTTCTAGACTCAGGAAATCTTGTTGTGAAAGATGAAGACGATACAAAAAACCTTTTGTGGGAAAGTTTTGATTACCCTGGTGACACTTTCCTTGCAGGAATGAAACTTAGAACAAACTTTGTTACTGGTTCTTTTAGGTCTCTCACATCTTGGAAAAACGCTGAAGATCCTGGCTCTGGTGAGTTTTCATATCATATAGATGCTCATGGCTTTCCTCAACTGGTTACTACAAAGGGAGAAATTTTGATTAGTAGAGGAGGGTCATGGAACGGCTTTGTTTTCAGTGGAGTTTCTTGGCGAAGAATGCTTACACTCGTCAATTTTTCCCTAGTGATTAACGACAAGGAAGTCATTTATCAATATGAAACCCTACAGGCTGAAATTGTTACTAGGTTAGTGATCAATCCACAAGGCTTTGTGCAACGTTTGTTATGGTCGGGTAGGAACCGTGGCTGGGAGATTTTATCTACTCGTCCCATGGATCAGTGTGAATATTATGCCTTTTGTGATGTGAATTCCATGTGCAATGTTACTAACTCTCCAAAAATATGTACATGCTTGGAAGGTTTCGTACCACAGTTCTATGAAAAGTGGAGTTCATTGGATTGGTATGGTGGGTGTGTTAGAAGAGTAAACTTGAGTTGCGATGGTGATGGGTTTCTAAAGTACACAGGAATGAAGTTTCCAGACACTACTTCATCTCGGTATGACGAGAGTTTGAGCCTTGAGAAATGTGAGAAATTATGTTTGAAAAACTGCTCTTGTACAGCATATGCAAATATAGATGTCAATGGGACAGGGTGCTTGCTTTGGTTTGGTAACATTTCGGACTTGACAAGACACACAGATCAAGGACAAGATATTTACATACGACTTGCAGCTTCAGAGTTAGGTATTTTCAATTCCCATGATTATATGTTGATTTAAATCAAACATGGCAGAAAGAAAAATAAATGCGTTTAGGGAGTTTGTAAAATTAAAATCCACATTCCTTGATGGAACTTGAAGGCAGCTATTGGGGTGTACAATTTCTGAAAGAAATTCATTTAATTGTTCTAGAAAGCAGAACAAGTGAAGTGAAAGGATGTTTTATGGTAACAGTAGGTGGTTATTGTTTCAGACATTGTGACAGTAAAATGTAGTTTATACACCAACCAAGGTGGAGGAACCTTTTGTGACAACCAGCTTCAAAATTGAAATATGATCTAAACATGTTCTTTTGTATTCCTTTACTTTTCTTTTTCTCTTAAACTGAAACCTTCATGCAGTTTGTTTGTTGACATGGAATGCTTTATTATTCCTCAGATCATAGAGGGAATAACCAGAGCTTCGATAACAAGAAGCTTGCAGGGATACTAGTAGGCATTGCGGCATTCGTCATGGTACTTGGATTGGCCACATTTACATATATGAAGAGGAAGAAGGTCTCGAAGGGAGGTGTGTTTATGAAAAAGTAAAATTTGACTCTTTATGATATAGTCCAATATTAGAATGCAATATAACAACTATTAGAATGAAGAGAAGTGTTCAATTCTAAAGTCTGATTCATGTTCTTCTCATTATAATTTATTTTGTTTACCATACCAAATTGGAATTTCCTACCATTATTTCAGAGGTGCTAAAACTATTTCACTGGAAGTATAAAAAGGAGAAGGAGGGTGTGGAGTTATCAACTACATTTGATTTTTCAACCATCTCTAATGCTACAAATCACTTTTCACCCAGTTACATGTTAGGAGAAGGTGGCTTTGGACCAGTATACAAGGTAGGTAGATTTGACCTCAAACAAGCCTTGGTTAATAGGATAAATCATTTCTATTCACCAAAGTTTCAAAATTTTCAAAATTACTCCCAGGGTATATTGCAAGATGGGCAAGAGATTGCAGTCAAGAGGCTTGCAAAAACTTCTGAACAAGGAGCAGAGCAGTTCAAAAATGAAGTCATATTAATGGCAAAACTTCAACACCGGAATCTTGTAAAACTTCTTGGTTGTTCTATTCACCAAAAAGAGAGGCTCTTGATCTATGAATACATGCCTAACAGGAGCTTGGATTACATTATTTTTGGTTTGAAATTTCACACTACGCAAATTATGGCTCTTCATTTTACTCATTATGCAGTTCTAACACTAATTTAAAAAGTGAATTTTGTTAGATTCAACTCAAAGTAAACAACTAGATCTGACAAAGCGCCTTCAAATTATTGATGGTATTGCACGAGGGTTACTGTATCTTCATCAAGACTCTAGATTAAGAATCATCCACAGAGATCTCAAAGCTAGCAATATTCTTCTAGATAATAATATGAATCCAAAGATATCAGATTTTGGTTTGGCTAGAACATTTGGAGGAGATCAAGCTGAAGCCAATACAAAGAGAGTGATGGGAACATAGTAAGTAGCTAAGGAGTCACGTATTTTTACTGTGTTTTAACCCCATTTGACATCAAAATTTTAATTTCATGGTTGTGCTGTAGTGGTTATATGCCCCCTGAATATGCTCTACATGGACATTTTTCAATCAAATCTGATGTATTTAGCTTTGGTGTGATGGTACTGGAGATAATTAGTGGCAGAAAGAATCGGAATTTCCTTGATTCTGAGCATCATCTTAATCTTCTAAGTCATGTAAGTTTAAAGGCTATTTATTTCTTCATCTTTGCGTATTATTCCTTGCTGCTATCATCAAATACTATCTGTTGGATTCTAATGAATAATCCGGGATGCTCTAATTTGAATAGGTAGCAATAAAAAAAAAGTCAAACAATTGAAAGTAAACTCATTTGTATTCAATACCTTGAATTTTGGCCACTCCTTTAGCATGAAGTTGAGTATAAAATAGTCTATGTTTGAAAATTCAAACATTTAAGGTGTTTTTTCAAAACTCTTGATTTTATGCTAGCAATGAAAACATAAAATAATGGAATAGGTATTGACTTTCACTCGTTGGCTTTCATGCGTTGCAGGCATGGAGATTGTGGATTGAAGATAAACCACTTGAGCTAATAGATGACCTATTAGATTATCCAACCACACCAAATGAAATACTTAGATGTATTCATGTGGGTCTATTGTGTGTACAACAAACACCACAAAACAGACCCAACATGTCATCTGTGGTTTTAATGTTGAATGGTGAAAAGTTGTTGCCTGAGCCTAGTCCACCTGGGTTCTACACAGGAACAGGTCGGTATCCCATTCAGGTAGAATCTTCTTCCAGAAGTTGTGGAGCTAGTTCACAAAATGAAGTTACAGTGTCCTTGTTAGAGGCACGATAGAATACATTGTGTCGATGATTCAAGGATTCAAATCTCTTGAAGAACTTACTTACAGCTTATGTATATAATACTAGTATCTGCGAGAAGATGTCCTTTTGTTCCATGAACCTGGACACTTGTAGTTAGGACCCTCAATTTTTTTTAATGTGCATATAACAATTTATAAAAAGTTATTTTATTCTTGCCTCTCCTTTTATTAATTATGCCATGTAATAAATAATATATAGGAGAAAGATAGAAAAAAAATTATTGTTTACAGTTTGTTGTATGAATTGTTGTACAATTTATATATAAATTTATATATTTATTAATATTAAATTAAGTTTTTTTATTTAAATAGTCTGGTTATAGAAATAATAGTACGTAAGTATAATTTGTCTTTTTTTTTCATCATATGTTGTATTATCTTTTTATAATATATTTGTAAAAACTGAAAAATTGTACTATTTTATCATTTTTATTTGTTTAATTTTCTTTTTAAAGTTGTAAAATAAATTATAATACACATAGATACTATTTTTTTTATAATTAATTAATAAACAAAATTTCCGACTCATTTGTAATTTTGACTTACTTTCTTTTTTTTAAATAATTGCTTAATCCTGAATATTAACACACAAGCATGACCAAGTTACCTAAAATATAAAACAAATCAATAATTACGAGTTGTTTGAGTGATTTTGGTTTCACTTCAAAAAAAGGTATTCACCAAGAATAATCACGGCTTGTTTGAGTGATTTTGGTTTCCCTTCAAAAAAAGTATTCACCAAAGTTATTATTACGTAGAAATTTTGTTTTCTTATATATAAAACTTGATGATAGAAAGAGATTGATGAAAAATATATATTTAATTCAATTTTACAAGATTTGTATCTCTCATTTAGCAATTATTTAAATTAAAGAATGAATTAGAGGGAGTGAAAAAGGAAAGAGTAGAAAATAAATTGTCTTGATGGGTATTATTGCAAAAAAATACAAAGAGATCAAAAAGAAATATAATGACAATTTTAAAATTATTGTTGTTGAAGCTGTTATTAAAAGTTACAAAATTAATATTGGTTTTGACATGTCGTTGTTACCGATACGATAAAAATTACAATAATTATTATCATATGTTACATATAATGATGATTATAAAAAGAATCATGTAAAAAATTGTTGGACATATGATAATTAATAAATAAACCATTGTTAAAAGGTTGAAATTAATTACAAGTATTATAAGTTCTTGAACACGCAACTACTATTTCCAGTTGTGCAAATTGTGCCCCAGCCCAGGCACTACAAGAATAGCCGCAAAATTATAGATGGACAATTTACAAGAGACAAAACAAAACTGCTGCAGAAATCAACACTCAAGTTTAGATATATACTCAAAGCAAAGGAACAAGAATGCCTCACTCAGACATTTTCTCAAGAATTTGAACGAATAAGATGATCTTTTTTACTCAGTAAGATTCTTAAAATGTTAACAAGAATGTATTATTAAAATATGTTTAATTTGAAAAATCATATTTGTTTATATAGAAGTGTTCGAAGAAAAAGTTGTTACTTTTTAATCGATTAATCGTCTTTTAATCTATTAAAGTAACCGAAGACAGTTGGAAGAAAATCTTGTTTAAGTTGTTTTAACTTATGTAAATTTAGTTTAATCCATTAAATCATTTTTGAGAATTTTCCAGAGATGACTTAATTGATATAAAATTTGATTTAATTAGTTAAAATAATTTTATGATTTTTCCAATAACAATTTAACTGATAAAAATATGTTATTAATCGATTAAAATAATTGTGTCAGTTTTTAGTTTGTTGTTAAGAACATTTTAATAGATTAAAATTACTATTAATCGATTAAAACATCAAACCTTGAAATCCCTTTTATGTTTATGTGATTTTAATCGATTAAAATGAAAATGAATTGATTAAAATTACGAAAGAAGAACATATTAACATATTAAAAAGATTTTTAACCGATTAAAAATATTTTGAGACACTCTTTTACTTTTGCATTTTGTAAGAGAGATTCTAAGACATGAAGTAAGGATTAAGGATTAGTGCTTACATTAACTGTAGACTACATGCATATGTTAAGTATTAGATAAAAGTATAAGCACACACAATTAAAATAAAAAGATGAAAAAATACCGACAATAGGCAAAAAGGTAATTTCACTAATGAAAGAAATTACAATCATTCTCTCTACCTCCAAGAAAACAATAATACCCTTTCTTGAAAATAAAAGAAAATCAACTCTAAGAGAACCTTCAAGGATAAACTATTTTTCTCTCTTAATTTATCTCTCAAGCACTAAAGCAAGAGAAAGAAAATGAAGTAATTTTTGTGTGATTTACAAGGTAAACACTATGCACCTTTTATAGTAAGAAAAGTAAGCACTAAAGTAAGATTTGTCTAATGTAGGACTTCTCTTCTCACAATCTCCCACTTGAAGATTTTGATTAAATTAATGAAATATTCACACCATGTTTGTTTTATTCTTGTCATCCATGTTGCTTATTTTTCTGATAAGCCACAGTAGGATTGACTCCATATAAACTTGTCAACACTAGAGGGGGTGAATAGATGCACAAATTAAATTAGATGCTAAATTAAAAATTTATTTGTTTAAGATATCCAATAATGTGTTAATTCAATTTTAATTATCAGATAAAATACAGATAAAGCGGGAGTGATATAATCAGAGAGATAAAGGGAAGAAAATAAGTAGATGTAAGCACAGAGGTATAAGGAAGAGAAAAAGACACAAAAATTTATACTGGTTCGGGTCAAGCCAACCCTACATCCAGTGTCATGTCTCCTTTAATACGGGAGAGACATCTCAATTCACTATCTTTATAATTCAGTTTACAAATTACAATCAACCTTGTAAAAGAACCAGTAAAAAACAAACTAATTAAAAAGATAATCACCTCTCTAGAATCCCTCTAGAGATAAACACCTCCTCTGAATAAATCAAAGGATGAACAATTCCCACAAAGGAAACTAGGGATGGCAAAACGGGTCAGGTCCAGCGGGCTGGCCCGCCAGCCCGCCATAATATGGCAAGGCGGGTTGGTGTTTTTAGCCCACCAGCCCACTTTGGCCCGCCTCGCCAAGCCCACTGGGCCAACTCGCGGGAAATGGTGGGCTAGCCCGCGACTCCGTCTAATTAATAAAAAAATTA